TGAAATGTAATTATTATGTGCAATTTTATGTAATTAAAAATTTTCGATGTGCAAGACTTTTGTCCAGGTAGTGTATCATATAATATATACAGTATAATGTTCACTTACTGAAAAGTTGTATTCCAAATGTACAAAGACTCGTAATTTTCGATTGTGGTTGGTGGAAGTGATTCAATTATTAAATCAAACATATCTTTCATAAGTTTTAATAGTTTCATTCTGTCTCCTAAATATTTTTTATCGTGAATATCTCCTGTTCTAGTGACCTCACCAGCTAGTATTTCTCTTGAACTATTACGAAGTTTTAGTAATATGTCAATCTTCCTGCCCTATTATTATTAAAAAAGAAATTAATTCAAACTATCTACATACACAATATTACAGTTTTAAAGGTTCATTACATGAATAACGGATTTTCCAATTTTTCTTTTTTGTTTTTACGCATTTTCGATGCATACGAACTGCCCTCTGATCTATAAAATTGAAAAATATGTACTTAATCACTAATATTATAACAATTTTTGTTTGAACACTGATGACATACTTTCCAATTTTTGTTTCTTCAATGTCCTTTAATGCCATATCGACAATAAAAGTCCATACATGACTCACAATCCATGCTTCCAATTATCATCTGCTAATGCATTCATGCCTTGTTCCCATTCAATAACACTATATTAATATCAATAAAGAGAAGAAATCAGTCATGAATTAAAAATATTATATAAATGATGAGAGTTAACTCACAATTTATTGAATACTAAGTGAATCCATTCCAGATCATAATGTAACTTTGGATTATAGGTCTCCATGTTTTTCAAATATGGTTCCATGATGATTTGTCAAAGATTGCTGATATTTTTCTATAGAGATTTAGAAGATTTATGAATAAATGCTCAATTCGGACAACCTTTATCAAACAGAATACGTGGGGATGCTGAAAAGTTTTGTCGTTGATTCTTTATTTCTCGAAATTACATAATAATTATTAATAAAACTA